TAAGTTATGTAAATGAGTTATCGCTATATTGATGATAAAGTAGATATGATGAGAGTTAGTGGGGGTATATATATCATTATTTCAATGGAATTATAGGTGTGAAAGAAGATAGTTAACTAAAGGAAAAGGTTTGAATTGATTAAAAATTAGTGGGTCCTTGACAAAAAGAAAGCGTTCAAAATTTTCAAGTTGTTGTATCTGTGGGACAAATAAAACAGCTTAGTGTAAAAGTAATTGGGACAGAGCCACAGAGAGTATTTCTGTTGGATGCAATATCTTCAAATGTAACAAATGTTAAGGTATATATGTTCACTGAAAGTTAAAGTCTAATGGAAGAATTTAAGTTTGGAAAAGTGGTTTTTAATGAGCAGAAGTAATATTTTACTGAGCCTTATTTGTGTTAGGACATTGTGTAGGAGTTTATAATTTCTTGTTCATCCTTTCCTGTTCTAATGTGGTACTTCTGCCATAACATAGATGACCAAAGTCACACTGTCCCAAAATTTTGAAATATTTCCTAAAAGCTTACTAAATTCACATGATGTCATTTTCCTCAAATAGTATACTCTCATTGGATTGTTCACATTCAAAAACATTAATCGAATAAAAAAGTCGAATGCTGGTCAACTGGCTGTACAAATTCCGTGTGTTAAAAATTGAGGCTGTGTTTAACTTATTACATTTTGTTTCCCCACTTTTATTTGTTTGGTACTTTGGTAGGGATGCACGTGATGATCTTCTATGAAATAACTCTCTCTTTATTTATGTAGAATCATGCTATCCGAAGAGCTGATATTGGTAGACGAGTGCTAGAAACACTGTATCCAATCTGCAATGATGACAAAGCGAAAAGTGGATTGTGGTCATGGATCTTGGATAAGCTGGGGCTCAGAAGAGATGCTGGCATGAAGTCTGTAGATTTTGATTCAGAATCACTGTTATTTCCTTGGCATTTGCTAAAGTCCGCAGATGATGATCTTTTAATCATTAACAAAACGTACGCTATTATCTTTTGACATCTCGAGGCTTGTACTCTTATCTTTTTTATGTGACACCACATTTATAGTGCAATACTGTCTTCTTTATGTTCAACATCAAATTCGATTACAAGTGTGTATAAAATCAAGCCATGAGGGCCAAGAGACCAGTTTTCATTAATTGGATTTCATGTGGATATCAATTTGATATATTTGTATGTAAATGTGTTTGTGTGCAGTTTTAACAGTATGTGGATCATGGATACGAGTTCCAGCATGATCCACAATGTAGTCGAAGGTATGATAAATGGCTTTGTATATTTCTGTATGTTTTATTAAAAATTTTCTGCTGAACTGTGATATCTGATATGGCTTTCTATTCTCATGTTTTTATTTTACCTTCCTATAGGGCATGCAGCTATAATGGAGCTATGTGGCCAGCAGATCATTGAAAAAGTTTCACACTTAAAAGATGCTTCTCCTGATTTTCTTCAGCAGCTGGTTTATTCTAGTTACTCATTAGGCGGCATCCCATATTCTGGGTTTGTCTCCTCATTTGTTGCTTTGGGAGACCGTTTTCTTATCTGTGATACAGGTAAAAGTATTTTTATTTCAACATTACTTTCTCATTGTTATGACCTTTAATTCATATTTACGTTTAAGCTTGAAATGGTTTCTGAAGTTGCTCAGAGGATTTTGATGATGAATAAACAAGCTGATTCTTCTTCAAGCTTTGAATTCTCAAATCTTGGAATTCTTGCCCAGCCTTATTGGCTATCTTTTCCTTTGGAGAGAGCTTTGACCACGTAAGTTCATGCAAATCTGTCACCTTATTTAAGACTTTGAAGATGTATATTTTTAATACTTCAAACATTACAGGGGCGATGTTTATGAGGAAGCTCATATTGATCATTTTCAGACTTTCACATTGCTACCAGGTAACCTATTGTGAATAGTGGAGTACTTCATTTTTTGTCCACTAAAGTTTCTGACAATGGTAACTTCATGAGAATTGATTTCCTGTGTCAAATATAGGAAAAATAGCTGTGCATTGTACCATAGATATTCCTGGGACTGCAGAACTGGTAGAACCTCTGGAAGAATCTTGTGTATGGCGTCAAATAAGAGGGGCTGCTATTGAAGTATTGGGAATGAATAACACTGCTGCAACAGCAGAGAAGGTATTATCCTATCACTTTTATTTTTCCCAATAAACTAGCAGCCTGCTACTTTTATGTAAAAATCTTTTGCTCTATTTTTTATCCCTTTGATTCTCATGAGAGGGATTCAGTATGTAAAGGTTTTACTAGATGTATCTTTATTTTGCTTTTAGGTTGGTGTTGCTCAGCAGTGGTATGATGAGTTGGATAATCTTGCTTTCGAAGAAGAAACAGAGGTCTCTTCAGAAGAAAAAATTACTCCACGCATAGACATGGAAGATGGCAAAATTCACATCAACTGTGCTGTCAATACAAGTCCTGGAACAAGTGAGGTACGTGTGCTTTCCCCAACCTTCCCACCCACTCTCCTGAAAAGGAAGGAAATAAAAAGTCCTATGACTCTACTCTAACACTGAATGCTTGATTGTCTTGGATGGTATAAAAAATGAAGACGTTGGATATTACTTTTTCACTTAGTTCAACTGATGTCTGGTGAGCTATAGTAGAAGCTAAGCCAGTTTGGAAAGAAATGTTTTAATGTTTACATCAATATATCACGATACAGTTGTAATGGATGCTGAACTTTGTTTCGCCTCGTGTCACTTCAGAATTCTGGAGACTAGAAATTATTTGTGATATTTTATGACATGATTGGTTAGGCCTTGTAATTGATATCTTGTTTGCAATATTTTACAGGTTTTCATTTTGGCTCCACTCTACCTGAAACTGCATAGTAGCTTAAAGACTTGCAAGGACACTCAAGAAAAGGCCGCTGCAATAGCAGAGATTTTGAAACAGGATATAACAGGAAAGACTACAAGAGATGCGTTTGTTCATTCATTGTTAAATTTAAACATGGATTTGGGGGAGCTTATGTTCGTGAAACCATTGCGCATAAAGTTGAGATTTGAGATTATCAACCCCCCAAAATCTGAGAACTCGAGGGACGTCATATTAACTGATTCAGCAGTTGATGTTAATGTATCTCTCAGCTAGTGTTTCTGAAAACTCGAAGACTGAATATATTATATGGATAATAGCAAGTGATAGCAATGTATCATGTAGAATAGTCTTAAACGCTCCATGATAATCATAGGTTTTTTCTCTTTATATATATTTTTTGGCTGTAAACTTGTAAAAACCATACATTTTTGAGAAACCAGACTGAATTTTTACTGTGCAATTAGATTAAGTAGGATGGGCTGCCAAAGTTGGTAGTTTGATAAGTTCAATAAATTTGATCTTGTTATTTATGATGATTTTGCATCTTTATCTTGTGTTCCTTAATACACTAGCATTTGATGTCGTTAGCTATCAAACAAGGGCTGGACGCCTGGAGCCCTGGACAACATTACACAGTATTGTCACACATTTTTTTTTTTTTTTTAATATCTCAATCTTTTAAAAAGTTTGACTTAACTTTTAATGAAAAATGTTTAGATAATTATACCCTTTTAATATTTAATTTATTTATTTGCCCTTATTAATGTTAATTGCCTTTTTTTTTTTTTTTTTTTGAGAACCGTTAATTGCCTATTTTTTTTTAGAGTGCTTACATTTATACCCCTAAAAATATCTGTTTATATAATTTTTCATCATTGATCTCACCAAAAGCTTAAGTTATGATGTAAGACTAGATTGAGAAAACTTAGAGGGCATGGCTAGGTCTATGTATGACATGTGCATTGCATGTGTTAGCCACCTTAGTTATTGTAAATGAATATAATTATTGAAATATATGGATATTATTTTTGAATATTGAGACTTATTTTTCTTCTTTTCTACTAAACAATTTCCTTGGCTTGTGATTAATCAATAGTTGCGAGAGTTGAAAGTTCTTCACAAGTGCCTACCAAATATCAAATACTTTTTTAGTTTTTATTTATTTATTTATTATTATTTTTTTAGGGGAGATTTTTATTTTAATAGTTGTAAGACAAATTTTATTAAGGTATTTAAGAAAAGTAGACTCACATGATATAATACACTTAATTAAAATGGGGCTAAAAGGTTGTTAGTAGTATAATCAAGTGAGTCATGAGCTTTAAATAAAGGTAAGGGCCTGTTCTCATTGGATGAAATCAGCTGAACTGAATTGAAATGAATATTTTATAAGAGAAGGAAATTAGGAGTTGAACTGAACTGAATTTCAACGTATGAGAACAGACCCTAATAGTACAACTTTTACCATAAAAACCTTACTTTTTTTTAGTGTATTGCAACTATTGTGACATTTCCGTTTTAAAAAAGTGTTGTAACTATACAAAAAATGGAGAAAATACTTTTTTTTTTTTTTTTGGTGTTTAGAGAGCCCAAGGGAGGGGGTGAGAATCGATCCCAGGAGATTTTAGAATCGGGAGGGAAGCTCTAACCACTTGAGCTATCCCTCACTCTCAAAATGGAGAAAATACTATTCAATGGTCAAGTGTTCATCTTTACCCTTGTTCCATTCTTGTCTCAAATAGTCAAATTAGTGCTTTCCTTTTTTTTTTTCTTTTCTCAAATAACAATTAATATATCCCTGTTTCGGAATAACTGACAGGTTCCAATTTGACACACTTGTCAACACATTAGTTTGGCCATTAATATAGTACTACTTTCGTTTATTATTATGTGCAATAAAGGTCTTACAAATAAAATCTCTTTGTTGCACATAATAAGAAACAAAGGTAATATATAAATTGTGAAATCAAACGGAAGTAAAAATTATGAAAATGTTGATATTATGACATATTATACCTATTTAACAGACTTTTATATGGAAAATATGTGTTTGTAGTACATTGGCACCAAAAAAACTAAAATTAAAGTTATTATATGAATAGTGTAAAAAGTCAAATTAAGTAAATTATTCTGAAATAGAGGGGGTACAAAACCACTTTGTATCCGTGTTTTTAACATGTACTTCGTTCCATATTGACATTTGATCTTTACTAGGTACACAATTACATAAACAAAGATACATATATTGTTGGATCTTGTTACATATGTCGTCTAAACAAGGATTTTCGATTGAAGACGACTTCATTACTTCTCATACAAGTATTACATAAGCAATAGATTTGACTATTTCCGACCCTTTCAATTAGAAAGAAAGGATTGTTATTCTTGAAGGTTGATTGAGTACATCTGCAACGGTAGCTCTCTCGAGTATCGTGAAAAAAAAAAAAAAAAACTCACACATCCATCAAAATAAATATATAAAAATTATACTTTGTATCATAGTTCTATATGTGAAGAAATGGCATTGAAAACCAAGCCACAAGTCACAACATCCTCTAATTTTCTTAATTATGCCCTAAATCTCAGTAATCTTATTGATGGTGTCATTGGTGCAAAAGCATCGCTGAACTTCAGCTGCTAGTTCCTCCATGCTTAGTTGACATTCTAGCCCTATCTGTACCACATAACATACAAATTAGCCATAGGAGAATCCGAGAAGTAAATTATAGCATAATTTCATACTAAACACAAAACTTACTCCCTTGTTCTGTCACTTAATTTTAATCTTTACTTTTAGAACTTTTTTTCTCACAAAAAAAGGTAAGAATTGAATCGCAATATAAAGATTAAAAAGTGATCAGATCGATATTACAAATCACATGCAACATATTATCTTACATCTATAAGGATCATTACATAAATTTACTAGAAATGTGTATGTAGTACGTAAATTAGGTCATAACCTTAAATTACGTGTTATATATACCACCACTCAAGTTCAACCTAACTAGCTAGTAGATAAAAACTCACATTCTTTTAAGTATATGTTTAGTTGGCTGTTTTTTTTTTGTTTTTTTTTTTTTTTTTTTTTTAACGAACATACTAATGGAGTCTGGTTCGCAAAATTTAGGTATAAGGTATAATTAAATCACGAAAGTAATGATAAAGGGTTTACCTTGACGACGAAATAATAGAGAACAGTGTCATCCATGCTACTAATATTCAAGTGAAGGATCTTAAACGAAAGCTTCTCTAGAGTACTTATTATCTTAAGTAGTTGTCCATGAGTTCTCTTTGATATTACCCTCAACACAACGTTAGAACCCGAAATCTTGGCTTCAACATCAGCAATCGGAGAATTGCATGATGCTACTAGCTCCTTGCCACAATCAAATTTAAAGGAGTGATTTGTGATGATGTTGGCGTTTGCTGCTAGTTGTCGCGGACTAGGTTGTAGTTGCTTCGGACTCGGGCCGGGGCTAGGGCTTAGGCTTTTCCTCCTCTTTTGTGACTCTAAGGATTGAAGAACTTGGTGTAACTCCTTTATGAACTCTACTACTCCACCGATGATTGATGCTTGATCACCCTTGATATTTCAAAGCATATATTATAATATTTATATGTTCAGATATTTAAAGCATAATAACCAACTACATCAATGTAAACGTAACACTAATATGAGATTATAACTGGATCTTCTAGATTATAGCTATTATTCTATTGTTGATATCTTTTTTTTTTGGAAAACAAGCTGCGAGAATTTCATTAAAGTAGATCAATTTCCGCCAAAGTAATCAAGCTTTGGGGAAACGGACCAAGAGAAACAATTTCGTTACAATCTCTAGCATCCCATCTTGCAACATTATGGGCTTGATATCTTATATTAGGTGATTGATTACTATAATCTTGGATTAAAAATAAAATAAAATTAGCTAGGGTTATTAAGCTTATTATACTTCCCATGCAACTCTAACTATGGCCTAATTAACCTTTTCATTTCTTCAACTAATTGGCATTTTTTCAATATATTTTGTTGCTATAATCATATAGGAAATTTTGTGAAAAACTACCTATTATAGTCCAGAATTTACGAGAAACTACCTATTAAAAAAAATGTTGTAATTGACTACCTAATTTTCGAAAAATGTTGCAATTTACTACCTTACGCCAGATTATGAAGGAGTTTGATCAAAGTTCTCCGGTGTTGACTTGGTCACGTGACACTTAATGACCCTTTTCTTTCACCAAGTGTCACGTGACCAAGTCAATACCGGAGAATGTTGGTCAAACTCCTTCATAATCCGGCATAAAGGTAGTAAATTACAACATTTTAAAAATTTTAGGTAGTCAATTACAACATTTTTTTTAATAGGTAGTTTCTCGCTAATTCTGGATTATAATAGGTAGTTTTTCACAAAATTTCCAATCATATATCTACAAGACTACAACTAGAATGAGGAACAACTCAAGTGGTTAGAACTTCTCTTCCGATTTCAAGAGACTTGAGATCGATTCTCATCATCTGTCCTTGTGGCTTTCTAAATTCTCAAAAAAAAAAAAAAAAAAAAAAAAAAAAAGAAAATCTACATAGTAATCTCAATTCTATTCATTATCAAATAATCATATACTATACGAAAAGTCTTTGTAAGATCATAACATAAAACGCACATCAATTGACATCATATATAGATAATGGGTAGTCCACAAAACATGTAAGATTATAGTTAAGAAGGGAAGCCTAACACTAACCAATTTATAATATGAATAATTTTAACATGCCCCTTGTATAAAATGACATCTCTAATTCGCTAATTTTGAGCATTACTTTCAACACACCCTCTTGCTCAAAATTTGTGATGCACGTCTCATCCGTTGTCAAACATGTTTTGTAAACAACCTATGTTTCACGGTAACAATTCGGTGAAACGAATAAGCACGAATTTCCAAAAGAGTTGAGGTAATATAGTAAAAACATAGTTCCTAGACACCTTAGACTATTTAGCTATGGTCTAGTAATAAACTATAAAGTAGCTAGAACTTGTAATATGCTTGTCATAAAAACCCCAAAAACTAAGATTATAAGGTGAGTGAAAGTTTATACTCTACATCTCACCTAGTCACCTTGGTTCTTGTGGATGGAAGCTATGGGCGATCTAAGGGATCGACATCGAAACTCTAAATCATTACTAACACCTCAAAGTATGCACTCGTGCCCTAGTTAGGAGGACGATTTGTATCATCAAATAAATCTACTAATAGGGTTATGGTTAAATGATCAACTTAACTAAAACAGTGAAGGATAGCTCAAGCGACTAGAGCTTCCTTCCCAGTTCCAAGAATCATGGGATTGATTCTCATCATCCACCCTTCTGGCTCACTACACACACGCGCACACACCAAAAAAAATAGTGATGGTTAAAGCCTAATCGGTTTATCTATGATATCACATATACAATTCATCTAAAGCTAGTTATACTGTCATGTTAATAGTGTAATTTAGATCAGTATCGTGACAACTAAATCTAGATGAAAGTGGTAATAAACTATTTCGATTTCTCGATTGATCAATGAAAGTGAAACATGTAGAGGAGGTACATGTACATACCTTCTTGATATAGAAACAAGGTGTTAAGGAACGTAAAACCTTGAGATGGTCATTCATCTGCCTTCTTCTGTTCCTTTCAACTGTGATGTGTGACATGGTGTGAGTTTTCGGGGTTCGATGGCAACGGCGAAGATGATGTTTCCTTGGGTTGATATGCTCAGCCGCCATACAAGGGTTTTTCATATTTATAAGGTAATGTTAAGTGAGGAATGAAATGAAGAACGAAGGGAGGACGAAAGAGACGTGTTAGAAAGGGATATATACATATAATAACATGCATACATTCCTACCTACTAGATATTATTGGACCATCATATTATTTGTGATTCTTTTTAACTATTATACAAGTATAAAAGATTAGGTTATATTTAATTTGCCGTCAAAAATTAAAGAAAAATAAAATATTAAAGCACGCACTATGGATTAAGTTTTTGGGTAGAGTGATTTATTAGATGCAATTATTACATTGAATTGGTAGATATAGTGTTTTTAATCAGAAAAAGAATATTTTGATTGATTAGAAGGCTAAAAGAGGTCAGCCTAAATACATACTTGCAAAAAATATACTTGGTAGTATATATAACAAATTATTATTAATAATTGCTCATTGAATTGAGACGAATCAAATAAGAGCCAACATGATTATGCTACATTTTATGTATTAAGAGTAAATTAGAAGATCTGAATAGTGCCAAGATTGCAAATGGGAATTGAAGAACAAAAAGAGGTGGACGGAATACTTTACATTCTACATACTATCCCCATAATTTGTACTAATATAGTCCAATGTGATCAGCTCTTCATTTGAATCAATGCAACATAATAATTAAACAAACTCTCATTTTATTTTCAACCAATCTCTTTTGATCTTTGGCCAAAGTGTAAATTAAACAAATCCTAAATACGAGTGCATGGTACTCATCTCACTCTCTAGAGAAAACATAGTTCAAAATAAAGAAATACCAAGTTTTTTTTTGATGCAAAAGAAATACTAAGTTAAAATAATAAACAAATAAATAAACACGTCCCATTTTCATGCTTTATATTCTTTTATCACAAGTTTACGTTATTTCAATTTGATTTACAAACTTTTTTTTTAATTTTTTTTTTAAAATTTTTATCACATCATGCTCTAAGATGTATGTATGGTTTAATTTTTGAATTCTTTTAAGTTGCCAAAAAATGCTGTAAATTCAGGCAAATTTTCTTACAATGCCTTGATTAGGCCTGTTCACTTCACCTTAAGAAAATAATATTGAGTAAAAATAATTTCAGTTCAGTAAAAATAAGTTCAATTCAGTAAAAATAAGTTCAGATCAGTAAAATTTAGTTATTTTAAAGAAGAATTATAATAGAATAATTTCAGTTTAGCAAAAATAATTTTGTTTAATTTTAATATATATATATATACATATATATATATATATATATATATATATATATATATATATAATTTTGTTTCAGTAAAAATAATTTCAATTCATCAAAAATAAGATGAAGTGAACGAGGCCTTATTCTACAAAAGCTAACTTATTCATTCTCATGTACTAATATAAGTTATAGAACTATGTTATTATGCTTTTTTGTATTTGAACATTATTGCCTATGATGTTATACCATAATCGTAACCAATATTGAATAAGCAATTGTAGATTAACTAGTGCAACTATTTATTCTTCATAATGCAATTTATAATTGAAAATATATTCTCTCTTGCTATCAAGCAAATTATTAGTTTCGAGTTAAAGCCTCTTTTACAAGAAGAGCTAGCTTAGCTTAGCCACACTTTCAGTAATGATCGACTAGTAATACTATATGACCAACTACAATTATAATTAAAAAATAATCTTGGTCACAAATTTTATTTGTTTTTTCAGTTTTGACATTAATTGAACTATTGGTATATATGGAAAATGGAAATATAAACACCGCACTTTTTACAAATGGTCACCTACTCTCTAAATGAAAATAATACAAGTGTCGAAAATTATTGTTAAACGAGGACGCTTGATGTAAAAATTCTTTTAACATATAGAATTCAACCGGTAACTAGTTAGCCATTATATATACTACGTATACTCAAATAATGTAATAACTTTTTCCGGACATCAACAATCCTAAAACAACATAAATATGGAGTACTTCGTATATGTGATTAGTATTCGTAATTCCAATCCTAAAGCAAATTATTAGTTTTGATGTATTGAAGGCCTGTTTCTTCACTGACAACCTAGAAAATCTAATTCATCAAAATAAAAACAGTAGTTGATGCGAGAGAAATATAATCCTCGTATCATATTAAATAATAGATAGAATAAATTTCCATATTTAGTTAGGTACATACAATTTAGGGTGTAACAAAGCTTCCTGATATAGTCGAATTAAATGCTACATATAACTTTGGAATGAAATATTAAAGTGGTCTCACGTAAATTACCGTGGGATCAATATTATTTACGCATATATGTTATATATGCATGTATATGTATAAATAATACTCCGTAACGTGTATTGTATACCCTCGAACGCGCTAGCTATTAAGAGAACGATCCACAAGGCCTGACTTTTTCTCTATCTATATCATGCATGTCATGCTGTATTTTTCATCTTCTTTATACATTTTTATTTGTTACTCAACACTCAACTTATACTAGCGGAGAAGAGATGATAGAGTAATAGAGTATACAGATTAATTTTGGGCTTTAACCGTTAACTTAAACTTTTAGCTGAGTTGATTTACTAACAAATCGAAAATGCATTAACATACACTTCTTCTGTTTCTTTTTAGTTGACACGTTTCTTTAGTTACGTTTGTCAATGCACAAATTCAACCACTAATTTCTTTAATCACCGATAAACAAAAATTGTAAAAATTTGATATTTTGAAAATATATATTGTGACGAATTTAATAAGATCCTTCATGACTATATTGTTTTATCATGTATAAAGCACAAAACCCGGTCAAAGGCGAGTGTGTGAATAGTGCTAAAGTCAAAACGTGTCAACTAATAAAAAACGGAGGTAGTAATTAATAAGCTTAAGGCATAGTAGTTGCTTAGGTATTTAGTCAACAACTTGACGAGTAAATAAGCTTTTAATTGAGTTGGTCCTCTAATAGATCGACATAATATCGATATTTAACCAATTGTCGAGTTAACAAGTTTATGGCATAGTGGTTGCTTAATTAGGTATTTATAAGATGGTATGTATGTAACGAATTCTAAATTCTAATTAGGGCTTAGCCTATGTTTGATCTAGCGTGCTAGATAAAGGGGAGTGTAAAGATGATTATGGATTATGTCAGACTGTGGCTCGTGTCGTGCCCACCTCCCTTGTTGTTGGCTAGAAACAATCCATAACCCCACCCATTTGCATTTACTTTCTTTAATTTCTATCTCTCTTCTCGTCACATGGGTATATGCTTTTACCTCTTTCTATCTCTTCCGTCGTCTTAAAAATTGTATTCCTTGTTGCAATATTAAAGGAACAAAAGAAGTATATATATTTTTTTATTTACTCACTTTTTGAACAATGTTTCTTTTTATTTTACACGCTCATATACTTCCTATTTTATAAATACAACATATCACTTTTCTTCTCGCAACTAATACTCTTTATAAAAACTTAATTTCCTTTTAACGAGAAGTGTGCAAATTAAAAAGAAATGAAAGGAGTGTACGTCTTATGTTTTTAATTGAATGTTGTGTATGAATTATGACAATGCAACTTCTCTTTGTTTTTTTAGTTCGTATAACATTATCAAGTGACAATTTATTTTATTCTATTTTGTTCAGAAAAAAAAAATAAAAAAAAATAAAGCCTTATAAGAATATATGTGTTCATTTCCTCAAAAAAAAAAAAAAAAAAAAAAAGGTATGTGTTCATATCACGTGAAAACTTTGCTACAAATGAATTATTGGCGAATGACAAAAGGTCGTGACAAAATTGAAGTTCATTTATTGAAAATTCATGTTCATTGTTTGAAAGTCGTGATACGGATTCATCTTCTTGTAAACAACTTAAACATATCATGTTCTCCTTATCTCATCTACATATCCACTACTAGAAGAGTTGCTAAAATAACTCATGCAACACCCTCAATCAACAACATCCTCCAACTTCCCGAACAAAGCAACCACCATCCCCGCCACCGCAACACCCCCTTCGCTTCCCTCCATATCTCCTACCTTCACCGTAGTCCATGTCATGATGGTGGTTCGAACTAGGATGGCGTCTAAATTACGTGACAGTCCGGTAAGGCGGTAAGTGTAAATGACGATAAGTATGATATGTTTTTCTTGATGCAAGGAGTAGATACAAGGGTGTATGGGGGGTTATGATGCAAGTAGGACGGCACAACTCGTCGTTCGAAGGAGAGAGCGGCGGAAGAGAATGCTATTATGCCTTGATGGTGATCGAGAATAGCACACACCAATGAGTTACTAGCATTGCATAATTGAGATTACTGACAACACATATATAATGACTTGCTAATAAACATTACTAGCGAATTAATGTTGATCAAAGTAAGGTAGCACTAAGACCAGAATTACAATACTTCTATAAGGACCATGATACATGGGTATAGTAATCAATTGATCATTCTTAGTAGTATTAGTTTCAATAATACAGCAAATAATTTTTTAAAATGAATTCGATTTCAAGCTTTGATACCACCCCTAATTCAGCATACAATGGGGCATTTTGCTTACTTTCCAACAGTGAGAGAAAGGGTGGGGTGGGGCGGGGCGAGGCGGGGGTGGGGGGGGGGTGGTAGGAGCGTTTTTTGGGCGGTGGAAGGGGGTGCTAATGCAGTTTTGGGTAGTCATTGTAGTGACTCTTGGTTAGGAAAATTGGTTGGGGGTGACGGTATAATCATGTAAAAGTTGCAACAACGAGGTTGAGATGGAGAATAACCCAGATTCATTATATATCTCCTGTGATAACTAAAGCGAATTTCAACTACTTAGATCGGAGTGGGGATTATGATTTAGTTGGGTGTTTACATACTGAGCTTTCTACTATAGAATTTGCGCTATGAACGAAAGCTAGATTTTAGTCGTCGCTCAAGGACCTCCAATAACACAAATATTCACCAAATTGTTAAGAATGGATTGATTACATTTCTGAATAGCCTATAACTTACATTACTCAACCTTTACATGTTCACTACAGTCTCACTGCGATACAGAAAAGCCTGCTACCCTGAAGTAAATACAGTACTCTTTTTTAAACCCCATTTCCTTTGTTTTACACCCTAAAAAAAGGGAGAGAGAGCCTCCCATACAAAAAATCATTCACTTGCTAAAGAACATCCTCCTCCTCTTTCCTTTCCCTTTTTGCATAGCCTGTTGAAGAAGCTCAAACAAAGTCAACACTTTCAATTGCACAGAGGGCCTCAATAAAAAAATAAAATATACATATTCTTTAGTAATTAAGCTTCAAAGAGTGCAAGCAGAAATATATCGATGATGCACAAAGAAGATTCACAATTGTCGTAAGTTGAAAATTTCAAATCTAATCACCCGTCCAATGAACAATGGTCCACCTATGGCATGGTCCGAGGGTCAAAATTTTTCAGCCTTACGCTTGCCAGTGCAGAGACGCTGTTTTTGTTGGATAATCAATTGAATATCCATCTTCTGTGGTCAAATTTGACTGCAAAATTCAAGAAGCTGAACTGTCTGAAACCAGTTTTGCTGAGCTTTGAATTTACTATAAATTAGTAATTATTTATTGATATAGATGAGATTTATCTTCGTACTTTAGAGTGAGCCTTACTAAAGCTAAGTAGGGAAAGGTGATAGCCATCATCAAAAGACAGCAATCTAGGAACAGGAAACATGCAGAACAACAACACTAAGCAGAAGAAACATGCAAGCAACGCTAACCCTAATCACGTAGCAGTGGCTTACTTTAGTCACCTCTCACCAAATATGGCTTCAGAATTAATCTATTCAGGCCTTTAACATGATAATACAAAGCAATGAAGTGTCTCAGGTTTATATAATTGAGCAACTAACTATATTTATCAAAAAAATATACACAAAGATGAAATATAAATAAACTTTTAAAGAAGTCATATCCAAATTACAAGGGAGAGCACACCTTCATGATGAATAATCTCAGCGTGAGGACAATTGTATCTCTCATACTGCAAAACCAAAAGTAATAAAGCTTAATATATAAATAAAGCCTAAAATTTAACAAGTTAACAATACAATTTTTCATGCATGTGTTCACTGTGTGCATGTTTGGGGGGAGGGGTACCTTGTGGTTATTTAATAATAAGTTACTTTGTCACATAAGTAAGCAAAATAACTCCAACAAAATTGTAAATTTATATAATTCTGTCAACATTTGGATATATGTAAGTCCACTTTAGTGCATCTCACTTCCAGCTTGAATTCAGAACATTTTTATACAAACTGAAGTTCCCCTCCTGAATTTTATCTTACTTACAGCCAAATTGGGGATGGGAGTATTCATTTATGCTTCTTTATTCACCCAAACAAGAGTATTGAGAAGACAGGAACTGGGGCAATACCTAGCAATGTCTGTTATGGTAGTCTCAGCTCGCATGAGATGCTCAACATCACTGGGACTAAATATAGAAAACTCGAGAAGGTGACCATGGGTAATGGTTACCTGCATAAAGCACTCATCAGGAAATATGGATGCAGAAGAAGAGGAAAACTAGGGGAAGGGGTGTTTGGTTGGGGGTCTTGATCTTATAAATACATAAGCAAACGCATAAGAAAGCCAACAGTAGGCTCAAAGTTTCCATCTTACAGAAATTTATGAAATTTCATAAACAAATAATATGGAGCACCACATATATATTGTTCTGTGTAAGCAAGCATATTTTTGTTATTTTAACATTTTATTAATTAAAAAAAAAAAGCATAACATTTTTGTTATACTACATATGTATGAGGGATTGAATGATAAAGGTATTCAATAAGTCCCTCAAGGATTTGACAATTAATAGATGAAATAACGCTCATCTCATGGAAACACGACACATTCACACAAACATTGCAAACCTTGCTTGAGTTGCTTAACAAAAAATTGATGTGAATAGCTGTTCTATTTTTAATATGGAAAACAAAAGTATCAATTGTTAGTCACAACAGGAGGCTAGTACCAAGCACTACACTCCAGTACTCCTAGTGTGGTAAAGTCATTTACTCATATAATCGTCTTCTTGACGTCTAAGATAAAGTTGATCCCTCTTGAGCAATAATTACAGAAATGGAAAAGCTAAACTTATCTCCCACAAATTTCATATACTTGAAGTGCATAAACAAAAAAAAAATAATGCTCTTATGCGCTCATTCATCTCACTTATCAATGGCTATTATACTTTGACGAGATACAAGGGGTAAAAAAATCTTCCTCCAACCTAACTCCCAACTCAAAATTAACATTTATCAAAGAAAAAAGGTTGTCCAAACTATAACTCAAACAATGCAAATGTAATATATATATGTATGAAGGCTATTCCCCACAATTCTTCCATATACTTCCTTTTTTTAGAGCTGTTACACTTTGACCTTTAGCATTACTCAATAACAATCTATTAAAACAAATGTGACTGAGTGTAATTGGATTTGTCTCAATAATAAATTTGAGATAAAAACTTTTTATGATTTTTACTTATAGAGAATTAAAGATAATAATGGACAAATTTGTAAGTTAGCAAACAAGTCAACTTAGAGTGAAACAACTAATTCAAAGTATTTTGCTCATTTACTCTATCTCAAATCCATCTTTTCAGGACCATCAATTGATTCTCACAACACATAAAAATCACACGCCTGAAGAAAGATTTTGATGATAGCAATTTTGTAGTCTCACAACTTCACACAAAAATGGGCACCTATCTCTTGTTAAAGCATTAATCTATTTGAAAACTTCAAAAGCAAATGGCTTGCAAAACAACAGTGGTTCATGAAAAAAATCTACAAACATTATCCAAAAATTTAATATTAAATATGGAGCACATGCATTAAAGAAGATGAGAGAAAAAAACTAGATTAAAAACAAATTTAAAATTTTTTTTTTTTTTAAAAAAAAACATACATTGGTTCCGGGTAAAAACTTCTCATTGACAGCAAGACTGCTGGATCCACTTCCCTTGATACTATAACCCTCACGCTTAATAGTCAAAGTAGCTGGCTCCCATATGTCAAGGTAACCTGTCTGCACCAGTATAACCCACAATCTTACGAAGTATATAACTTTGCTGAAGATGAAAGTGAATCCATAACAAATTAACAACCAAATAAAAAACTGAGGTTAAAATATGAAGGCGGCCATACCGATACTGATACTTTATAAGAGGCCTGACCATTCCGCCAGTTCTGTTCTATGTGACTTTGCATGGCAGGATCTGTATCAATAAAGAAGTTTTTAGCTAGCTATAAAAAGATTAATAGGTAATGCAGCTACCCACAATAAACAATACAAATTAAAAAAGGCAACAGAACATTCAAATAAATACATTCAATAAAAATCGGTTAGATTCAGTAAATATCAGTCCAGCTCAACAGAATTGATCCAGTTGTAGCGTCCAATTTAGCGAAATACTATTTTAAAACCTTAGTGGTACATAAAGATCTGCTGAAGAAGGGTCCTATTCTATCCTTTTAGCATACACCAGTAACAGGTGCACGGTGTCCCCCCCCCCCCCCCCCTCTCTCTTCCAAAAACCACAACCCCTATTTTTTTTTTTTTAAATTACCTCTAAAACTAAAGATATTGGAGATAGAGTCATATCAGCATGCAACAGAATAGAAAAACAAAGAGACAATCACAACTTCACAAGACTAATTGATTTAATCCCATTAAAGTAACAACTTTTACTATCTTACCACAAGTGATTTTTCTGTGCTCATTAGCAAAAACCTTTACAAGCTCCCCCTGCAGTTTAAACAAAAAAATTAAATAAAAAGAAAGTAAATGAAAAATATATGTTCGATAGTACTGCAGGAAAGTGAATATTCTAACCATAAAAGGCATAAAGTATCAATCTAAAAGGTTAACACAACCATCAGCTGTAACATCCAAAGTAAAAAAAAAAAAAGTTACCTTTCTTTTTCTGTCATCCAAAGGCTGAACTTCAATGGCCAGATATGTCTCCACATCATCAGCTGTGACAAGGTAGACCGGTTGTTTTGCCCCTGATATTTAAAAGTTCATGAGTTGCCAAATCTGCAAATTCCTGAGTACAAATGAAAAATAGAAGACAAAACAAAATGCAGAGACAAGGCAGAAATACCATCTATGTATTTCACAGATCCATCTTCCAAATGGCGCACCCACTGCTCAATACCAAACAAATAACTTTTTACAAATAGATTCAAAGAAGATTTCTAACAATTATATCTCAAAAAATAAAGGTCTCAAGAACGACCTCAAAGTTACAGCTGGTTGTTCCGTTTGTAGAAAAGCCACACGCTTGGATCTCTCGCCCGGGATAAGGTTCACCTGATATTTGAAGATCCTCTATTGCTGGTAATGGATCATCATCAGCAGCTGCAGATTCCAAAATGACAAACAATATCCATAAGCCATCATACTTGTTGAACACGAATCAAACATAGAAACCACAAAAAGTTTACCCTCAGAGAAAGAAGATGAAGGTTCTTCAGGAACTGGTTGAAGATAAGGAAAGGAAGAACTAGGATCCTCAATTGTGTTGGAATAAGGAGAGGTCCCTGTATTCCAAGTCAATGCATCTTCATTTTCATGATATTGCCCCTCTGCAGCAGCTCCGTATACCTCAGAACTACTTACTGGATCCTTAAATTTGACCTGTCTAGGCGTAGCATGATATTCATCACGGCTGACAGCAACTTGCGTTGGTGCATCATGGGTATCTAGATCCCTAAAGCCAAATAGGAGGCAAAAATTTAACCAAACTATGCCAATACAAGAGAAAGATGTGATCACCAATCTAAATTCTTAAGAAACTGTACAAGATATTTCAAGCACACAAGGACATATATATAAAGAATATAATATAATCTAAACATACAAAATTTTGATATCAACAACAATAACAACTCCACATTGATCCTTATGAAGCATGGAGATGTCCAGATCTTACACAGCCTCATCCCTTAGATCCTAATCAATGCACTCTCTCCCTTAAGAAGTAGCCAAGTCCCGTTCCACCGTTAATGGATGAAGAGACAGCTTCCCCAGGATAAAATTTCCACATATAAAGAATGGTAAGGGTAAAATAATAAAAGTAAATGTTGAAAACACCAATAATAATGTATTAAAAGTACTAATTGGACTCTCATCAAGGAAGAAACATATCTAAAAAAGCAGATCCAAATTCTCCTCACGCACAAAAAGTAGAAGTTGTTGCAGACATGAGGAAAACCCCAAAATTTAAATAAAAATTAATGGTATATTAGCATTAACGTCTATGTTATTCAAAGAAAAAAAAAAAGACAAATATAAGTCAATAGCATCTAGACATGCAAACATGAGAAGTCTCTATTATTAATCTAGAAAATATGAAACAGCAGTAAAATAAATTTATGGATGATAACAATCTACTTATATAAAACTCCAAAATAAAATCCTCGCCTTTGCAATAGCAAACACAAAACAAAATTATTTATTGTTTATTTAATGGCTATAAGGACTGTAACATTTTACTTCTGAGATGCCCTGAAATCAACCAACAGAATTTCAAATGAAAACAGGACCCACCAACTAAAGAGATGGTTGTAATTGTTCACAGTTCAGTGGCAATCTTCATTTGAGCAGGCTCACCTGCTTGCAAGAGGTGAATACCTCCCCATATTGCTTAACTCTGCATTTTGTGAAAAAGGAGCGCTTGCATCAGCTTGAATGGCGTGCTGGCCCCTAGAATTCCAATCTGCAGCAATCTGACCATCAGAGTTTGCCATGTTTGCAGGAGAATATGAAGGACGAGGCACAAGTTCTAGCCCATTTTTGCTCTGACAGAAAATGCATGATATTAAAAAAAAAAGATCATCAAACTACGAAAATAAGTGAGTTGTAGACATGTGATCATACTGAAGTAGGTGCTGCGCCACTGGAATGTTCAGGGGAATGTGCAGCAAAGTTAGGACTAGTCCCACCAGAGCGCCATGGTGTTAATTGATACTGAGACTCTTTCAATCTTGCCTGTCAGCACAAGAAGACAAAGACACAAAACACCATCAGCAAAAACTACTAAATCCTGCATTGACAAAATTGAAACTAAAAATATGCTATATACTGCCTTAGAGAAGGAAGGAAAGAAAAAAAAGGCATAATCTCAAATCACTTATTCTGGATGAAGGGAAAACAGTTATAGGTTACCTCAGTGATGATTAATTTTTCCTGCAGATGTTTAAATAGCACCTGCAAACCACCGGTGAAGGAGGGTACCATTAGTATAAAGCAAAAGGTAAGACATGCCAACTTGGATCTGCTATCCCCAAACTCCTTTAAGGCTTTAAAAAAAGGGAAAACAAAAAGGAAACACACAACAAGAGAAAATACAAGCTCACTTTACTTCATAAGACCTTGACAAGGTGATGCCAATCATGATTGTCAGCACACTGACAGGTCTATTATTCAAGCTTTTGCTGATACAGGTTACCAATGCGAATGATTCTTCCCTACCCCCCCTAAAATCATACTAGCGCTAGCCACAAAAAACAGAAAATGCTCTTTAAAGAAACACAAAATTCATCAACATACAGAAAAACCATCAAAGTCACCATCTTCAGGTTCAACACCCATCTCCTGAATACAAAACTGTCAAAATAAAAACCGAATCTTCTCAAATCAGTTGGAAAGTAAATTTTAGTAATGGTGACATCCAATCATTTTGATTCCTTTTTGAATATAAATCAATCGCGGACCAAGATGCCATCCTCATAAATTGATCACAGGGATCGTTCTATACAAGTCCACTCATCCCTATCCAATACTATACAGTCCAAAGACCACATGTCCTTTATACCATGATTTCCAGTCTCTTTTCACTGGACCGGACCAATCAAATGTTAGTGGTAGACATGTTCAAGCCATCATACTTGATACTCCTTCATCTTATCCCTAATTATGTAACGCTGACAATACTGCCACAAGCCAATTCTAGGAAGATTTTATCTCTATTAAACACCTCACTCATCTCCCAAACATGATTTCATATATCAAAAGTTGAATGAACAGCTTTACAAATATGCTTTTCCTTCACTTTAAAATTTATAACTTGATCCCACTATCTAACAATCAGCAATGCTTCGAAAGAGACAGAAACTTGAATTTACAGGAAACACGTACCTTGACGTTACTAACAATAGACTGGGCATCTGATACTTGTGGCTGAAGAGAATATTCTGCAAGAAGAGGCAATAAAGATGACACAAAAGTTGTCCTCTCTTGCTGCACATCCTGAAAAAGCAATGGTGTCAAACCATAATTAGGATTGGTTTAAACAAACATATCTTGCATACAATTACTGCCATTGTTCCATTGTAATACTTCAGCGTATGGTGTTAAACTTCATACATGTAAGTAGGAATGTAGGATTGGATAAAAAAAAGAAAAGAAAAAAAATATGGTCACAATTACTACACTAATATCACCTTCCAAGACTGACAGAATTCTTCAATAAAAAAATAATAAAATAAAAACATTTTATATGTAAAATCAACTCTAATATGGGAGGATCAAGCACAAATATTAAAATCCAGAACATGAGAGGCATCCAATGAGACACATTTAAGGTCTTAAATAGAGCCAAACATAGCTTTATATACAAGACAGGCTCAACTATGTGTATCGTCGTATCGACCACTACATAAAGCATTAAAAAATCAGTTTAACAAACCAAAGCCTTAACCCCAAAAGGATGAGTTCAGACATGAACCAAGAACTTACACAAAGAAAACAAATATCAAATGCAAATATTTAATCAAACAAACAATTTACCTGTAAAGCATAAGTTAAGCGCACATTTTCTTCAATTATATCTTGCCGATAAGAAAGAGATTTGGATGCTGCATCAATTAGATCTTGTTGTTGTTGATCAAATGCCTACATTAAACAATCAATGAAGCTTATGTCATTCAGTTATATCCAATGACAAATTCATATCAGAAACAAAATCAATTTGAAGTTTGAAGTTGTTTTAACCATTCGCATATGAGCAATGCGCTTCTCTAGAACATATTTTTCATTACGAATTTGGGCTTCCTGAAACAGTAAAAGGACAATTAAATAAACCAATACATAATTAACTTATTTTAGTATGGAATCAGGTTCAAGGTCTTGAGGAAAGACATTTAATTACCTTTATGGAATAGTCATTTAGATGCTTACGAAGCTGCAAGATTTCTTCTTCACGCTCCCTGATCTTTGGGACAAAAAAATTTGGGTAAGTGCAATTCAATCCCATAAGCATCATAGCAGAAAAGGAGGGAAGCTCTTAGAAAAGAACCTGCTGCCAAAGGTTGCTATGATTATTTGATTCAGTAACTGGCATCAATCTTTCTACATGAACATTGTTAGGATCGTACTCGCCATTCTTTTGCAACCTTAAAAAATGGAAGAAAATTTACAGCATGTGAAATTTGAGTATCCCTCATTGACAATTGCAACCACAAAAGGAAATAACCTATGACCCGAAATCATAAGTTCAGCCTGTAAGCATACATGAGATGTCTGCCCGGAGAGTGTAGTGTAGGTGATGCAGGCTGGAGGTTGTTGGCGTTCTCTGCAGTCTGGCCACCTGGAAGTGTGACTAAGTTACATTACTCTTCATACTCTGATTTTTGCTTAAATTCTGGAAGGAGAGACAATACCTGATGTATCAAACATTTGAGGTACTTGATGGACCCTATTTATTATTCCCTGCATGTGTTCACCAGATGGATCAACTGAATAAGACCCCTGAGCTGTTGGCTTATCAAGCTTCTGCCAATGATTACATGGGGGAAGGAAGGAATGCAATCAAGTCAGACCGTTTCAGAAACATGACAGATCACTATGCATGCTTCACAGGCATATTCGAATCCTACTTAAAAAGGTTATAAATCAGGCAATCTACAAAAACAAAGAAGCAGAGCATATTCACAATTAACCACACAAACATAATTATGTAGCTGGAAACACTTACAAGATTTTCAAGTTCCCGATCTTTCTTCAGAAGCTCTTCCCTTAACCTATTGTTCTCTTCAACCTGCTAGAAAATTCATGTAAACATCCATAACTCCTGAAAACAGGCATAAAAAAAATTCACAGGCATCAAGCAATTCAGGGAGATAAATATCAGCACTGTTTCTGGAAGTGCTGAAGTTCTTCATCTTGCTAATGGCCAATAACAGAAATGTTAACATCCCCATTAAAGGTGGATTAGAAAATTTAATTGATAAGTTCAAGCCTTCCATAAAATGTGTCTGAGAAATAGCTTCTGGAACATATAACTGATATAAGTTACAAAAGACGGGAAAGGATGGCCAGAAAACCTTAAACATGCTTCTAATGTTTATCTACACATAATCGAACTTGGACTAATTTGTCAATTTTAACACAAACAGCTTTGAACAAGACAGAAGGTTTGGATTCATTCTCAGAGATAAGGAGGCTTAAATCTGATTTTGAAAGTTGCAACTAAATCCCCACACGAAGCATCATAGTAAATTTTCAGTTTAATGCCCAAGAACAGCATCTTCTTACAGGGATAATTAATAAGTTCTCCCTCAAGAAATTTACTTTCCCTTGAAGCCAATCCATGACTAATGAGAAATCTTGGTACAGATTCTTACACTGAAGTGACCGAACAAGGAAACACTCACCCACTACTTTTAGGGCTGTCTCAATAAGTATGGAGGCGCTACGGAAATGATAATATAGGGCCCTCAATAACTGATACATAATCTTTGTCACGTGTGTGAATTCCATCCATAACGATTCGTTATCAAAGGCAAGTTATTAAGACAGGCCCATTTTTAATCAATGCTTTTTTTTTCTTTTTTTTTTTTTTTTGTGAGGATTGATAGGAAGGAGATCTATCCAACTCATTTAGAAATGGATGACACGATAACTTACTCATTTATTATTAGTTGATACAGGAGATCATCTGAATCTTCTATTTATCACAAATGAGGAGTATTCATATGCACATATAGAACAAATACAAAAATAATATTAAAAGGCTGTATTAACTTCTATTAGCAATTGTTTTATTAATTTATCTATTAAGTCAAATTAATAGGAGAAAAGCAAAATGAAAACATAATGTACTCCTTCTATACCTCTAAGGAAGCCCAAAAAGTAGAAAACTAGGATAAAAATTGTTTTCCAGAAAGATTACAGTGTACTTTGAAATTTTCTAGACATAGGATCAATAGGCATTTTAGGAGACGAATCATGAACATTTGGAAACCACTGATGTTCACTACAGCCAACACACTACCACTACAACGCGCCCAGGGTATGATTCTAAATTTCAGGCACTTCAAATACATCAAAATAAGTAAGATAAAATATAAGACCCCATTTCACCGAGGGCCGGGAGCAGTCCGATTGCATCTGCTAATAACTGGCCTTTATTACTTCGAAACATTGTCTTTGAACCAGATATCCAAGGAAAAGAAGGATTTTATAACACCAGAGAGGCTTTTTGGGTTTACAGAGTTTTCCAAGATATATAAATTAAGAAAAAAAAAATTAAAGACTTGGAATAATTTGCAGAAATATGAAAACTGAAAGTATTTCAAGAAGATAAGGAGTAAGAAGCAGATAAAAACAAAGAAATTTTGAATATTCTGAAGATCAAACATATTTATTGTAAATTAAGGCTCTTCTACTAGTGTTCTACTAGTTTGGTTGATTATTGCACTTCGTACTTTCTGCCTCTCTTCCTTAAGGGTTTTGTCATAGCATTTGTACTTCATAAATTCATTTCCTTATATAATGACTAAGGACATTGAATCACATACACTCCCAATTAATGATTAGGAAGCATTATAGGGAGGCATATCATTTATAATTCTATACGTAATCAATGAGAATGATAATTCTCAAACAAATATTAGCTTAGATTTGGATCGGGGTTGACTCATCAGTAAGATCATCTACATTTACATTAGTAAATTACTACTTTCTCTATCCTAGTTTAGTTTGCCTACTTTCCTTTTATGTTTGTACCAATTTAGTTTCCCCCCCTTTTTGGCAAGGACCCACTAATTTTTAAATACTTTGTTATTCCCACAACTTATAGGTAAGGTCCTTCGACCCACGATAGACAAAACTTCTGGTCTAGGCCAAAATGGTAAGAAATATTAAACTATAAGTTCTCATATGCCCATGAGTTACAGACCCACGATAGACAAAACTAAAAGGCCAAAATGGAAAGAATTTGACCAACCACTACATGATAAGAAGATTTTAAAGTAAAATTTCTCATATGATCACGAGTTACAGACCCACGATAGATAAAACTTCTGGTCTAGGCCAAAATGGTGGTCAGTTCTACTAGCCATCTTCTATTTTCTTTTCACAATTCATTCATACGAATAAGAGATTCCAAAACTACCAAAACAAGCAGAATCTCTGATTCCATTACACTGTTGCTCAATGTATGTTTGGTATGAAGATTTAAGGGCTGAATTCAGAATCACTAAAGTACTCCCATCATAGATTGTTTGTTTTAGGGGTAAGGTAATAGTTTCCTTTATATGAGCACAATTGATTCCGCCACCTTTTTACCCTTCGCAACCCAACGGTTACAATTCACTTTACCCTTCTCAAATTTTCTCCTCCCTTTCTCATTTGATCCCATTCCATTGAAATACCAAACAATCCATAAAAGTAATGATTATCATTACCTTTTCCCTATCTCATTTGATTCCATTCCATTTTTGTTTCCACTAAACATACCAAATGCAACCTCAACACTTTAACCACACCAATCATTAGTGATCATAATAATCTCAACAAAAACATCAAACTAACAAGCTTCCTTAAATTGTTTGATTGCCCTTAAATTACACTTCAACACACAACATCCATCAATAATAACACCAAAATCGAGTTCTCCGATTACGATTCCATTAAATTCACCCTTCTATCAATCATTTCCCACCACCCACAAATCTTCAATTAATACATAACAAATTGAGCAACTTCTAAAACAGTTTAAGGGAACAAAATCAATTGACATGTTTCAAAATCTAACAACAACAACAAGAAGAGAAAGAAGAATATGAACCTGATGACGAATTGTAGTTTCAGCAGCTTCAACAGCTTTCATAACTTGAAAAAGACTGCTTTCTTTAGCGTTATCAATATTCAAACCGCCAAATTTATCAGCCAATCCACCATTTTCCATCTTCAAATTGAAATTTCTTCGGGAATCTAGGGTTTTAAAATTCTTCCTAAAACCCTCCCCGAAATCCACCACCACACCACCAAAAATCGAAAATTCAATGATAAATTCCGAAAAAAATTAGCTAAAATCCAGAAATTGATGAAGAAGAACAATCATTTTTAGCAATTGAATTGGGGAAATAATCGATGATTTCTAAGGAAGTGTTTGAGTGATGAATCCGCTATCGTTTTTTTTCTCTCTCTTCTCTTTGGTCTCCGGCTAAGCAGCGTTTTTTCCAGCTCCAGTGATCTTTTTTTTTTTTTTTTTTTTTCCTTTTTTTTTTCAAGTCTTTTTATATAATTACATTTGTAATCCTTTCAAAAACTTAAATATGATTGTAATTTTCTCTTGTACAATTACAAATTTACAATTACAATTTTTTTTTTTTTTAACAAGAACAATGACAGTTCAATAGCATTTGTTGTACTGAATTATTTTATACTCCATTGTTACACAATTATTTTAATTTGTTTAAAAAAAAATGTTAATCTTTAACTTTTAAAAAATTAAAAAGAATCTTCTAAATTTCTCTCAATCTATAAAAAAAATATAATCACGAGTTATTTAGTTTGATTCTTCTTGGTGAGTAGATTATTCACTTTTATAATTTTTGCTAGTGTAAAATTAAAAATACTTGCTATCAAGATTTACATTAACAGGAAGCAGAGGATTTCCTTATATTTATTTATTCTTACCTTTTTTTAAAAAAAAAATAAGGAAAAAAAAAATCAACTCAATACCATTTACACGTGACTTGTAAATGAGACTTGAGAGTTGCTATGGTAATTTGGTGATGTGCCATTTACATGTTACCATAAGTGAGAAGTTATTACTGTTTTAATAATAAATTTATCTTATAAAAAACTTATTATTAATTAAACTAATCATATTAGCTTTTAATATTATGTAATTATGAATCTATAAGGAATTAAGCATTAAAATAAAATTTAAACTAAGGATAAATTAAAAGTTAACTTTTAAGGGTTTAAGTTACTATAAAAAATAATTAAATTTGTCTTGGAACTAATTGTCTTTCAATAAAATTAACGTACACTTGCCTTACACAAGACTTCTTGCTTTCCTTTTACAGTAGACCCCTAAGGCCCTAACCATCATACTACTCCGCATGATATATCCATATTCTCTTTCTTTCCGACAATTATACGAGTACTTTATTTTTCCACCAACTCTACTATTTTCATATTTTTTTTGTACTTTTTACTATTACCTTTAAAACTCCGTGCATGAAACAAGTAATAATACGGAGGAAGTATTAAATAACTCAGAAAAGAATTTCGTTTTGAAATGGGTTAAATTTGCTTCAATCTCAAACATATATCATGTATATAGGCCTAGTGCCTAAAATTCACTTATATCAAGCCCGTTCTTTATTTTCTTGAAGCCCAAGTTAGGCGGCCCTTTCTTAACAAATTTAAGCCATGCTGCTCAATTCAGGTGGTTCGTCAGTCCTCGCTTTCTGAAACCAAAAAAAATAAAAAGAAGGATGTCGGTTTCTTCTTTTTTTAAAAAAAAAAAAAAATACTTGTTTATTATTGGTGATAGGCTAGGTTGTACAAAAACATGTAAAAATATTAACCTATGGTGTTATGTGTGATGATGAGGGGAAAATGGAGAAAATCATTGAAGACTATTTTACTAACATCTTCTCTTCTTCTATGCCTTCTAATTTTGAGGAGGCTCTTGCAGGTTTAAACTCCAAAGTGACGGATGAGATGAATGAGGCCCTTCTTAGAACTCCCTCTTCGGATGAAATTTTTCAAGCTCTTTCCCAAATGCATCCCAATAAGGCTCCGGGGGTGGATGGGAGGCATGCCCTCTTTTTTCAGAAATGTTGGCATATTGTGGGACCCGATGTTATTGCTTTCATTCAGAGGTGGTGGGTGGAGGGGGTGACCTGGGTGATGTAAATAAAACGTGCATTGTTCTTATCCCCAAATGTCAGGAGCCGACGAAGATGACGGAGTTTCGACCTATAAGCCTATGCTATGTGACTTATAAAATAATCTCGAAGATGATGGCTAACCGTCTTAAGGTTATTCTCCCTGGGCTTATTTCTCATCATCAGAGTGCTTTTGTGCCAGGCCGTTTGATTACTGATAATGCAATAGTGGCTTTCGAAATTTTCCATGCCATGAAAAGAAGGGGTGAGGGGAAAAGAGGGACTATGGGGCTTAAACTTGACATGAGTAAGACGTATATATGATCGCGTTGAATGGACCTTTCTAAATAATGTTCTTAATCGGTTGGGGTTCGATGCGGGTTGGACGAGCCGAATTATGTTGTGTCTCTCCTCGGTGAAATACTCTTTTAAGTTAAATGGTCAGATCACTGGGTGCATTACTCCTTCTCGTGGGTTAAGGCAGGGTGACCCGATTTCGCCTTATCTTTTCCTTCTTTGTGCCGAAGCCTTTTCCTCCTTACTTGTGAAAGCTGCTAATGATAAGCTCATCCATGGGGCTTTGGTGTGTATGGGGGCGCCGAGGATTTCTCACTTATTTTTTGCCGATGATAGTATCCTTTTCTCTCGGGCTACTATTCAAGAATGCTCCAAAATTGCTAGCATCATGAGTATTTATGAAGGTGCTTCTGGACAGAAGATCAATTTTGATAAATCAGAAGTGTCTTTTAGTAGAAATGTGGATGCGAGCCGGAGAAGGGATATTATTGAGATTCTTGGAGTGAATCAGGTTGCTAGACATGAAAAATATCTTGGGCTCCCGACCATGATTGGAAGATCTAAGAAAGCGGCTTTTTCTTGCATTAAGGAGCGTGTGTGGAAAAAATTGCAGGGGTGGAAAGAGAAGTTCCTTTCTTAAGCCGGAAAGGAGGTGCTTATCAAAGCGGTTGTGCAAGCTATTCTAACCTATATGATGGGGTTATTTCGGATACCGGAGGGCATTATTGACGATATTAATAGAATGGTTGCTCGTTTTTTGGTGGGGGGCTACGGGGGAGGAGCGAAAACTCCATTGGGTTAGTTGGGAGAAGTTGTGCCTTCCGAAATCTCTTGGGGGAATGGGATTTCGTGATTTGAGCACCTTTAATCAGGCTCTTTTAGCGAAGCAAGGGTGGCGGCTACTTTGTAATCCCGACTCCTTGGTTCACATGATCCTTAAGGCTAAGTATTTTAAGCATGGAGATTTTTTGTCGGCTAATCGTGGTTACGATCCTAGCTATGTTTGGAGGAGTATTTGGGGTTCGAAGGCGATTTTGCTTGATGGCTTAAAATGGAGGGTTGGGGATGGGAATGATATTAATGTGTGGGATGATGCGTGGCTCCCGGGAGATGGCGTTTGTTGTGTTCCAACTCCAAATGTGGAGAGCCCTGCCGATTTGCGTGTGGCTGACTTGAGGAGAGGGGTTCTTGGAATATCGAAGCTTTGCACCAACACCTTACTCCGGAGGATGCTGCTCTCGCTCAGGGGGTGCCTTTGAGCTTACGTGCCACTAGAGATATCAGATTTTGGGGAGCTGCTGATGATGGAATTTTTACCACAAAATCTGGTTATTTAGTTGGAAGATTGAGCCATATTCGGGGTTGGGAGTTGCATTTTGGTAGTACTGCTGCTGTGGCGTGGAAGAGGGTTTGGAATATTGAGGGGCCTCCAAAATTGAGAAACTTCCTTTGGCGTGCTTGCACGGGGCCTTTGGCTACTCTTGGGAGACTTCATCAAAGACACATTAGAGAGAGTGGGCTTTGCGGTTGCTGTGGTGGTGGGGAGGAGAGTATCTTACATGCTCTTTTCCGCTGCTCTAATGTCAAAAGTATGTGGGACATGTCCATTTTTGCTGGTTTGTTGGTGGATGCTCCCTTCTCTTCTTTCGTGGATCTCCTGCTTTGGGTTATTTCTAAGGTGAGTAAAGATGAGCTTATGCTTTTTGTCTCGATGGTGTGGGCTGCCTGGGCTTACAGAAATTCTGTTGTTTTTGGGGAGCCTTGGAATAATAGAGATATTGGGGTGCTTGGTTTTACTAAGCTTGTTGGTGATTACTCAAAGTATATGGGAGCTGTGACTCCCCCTGTGAGGTGTGTTGCTGCTGTTTCTAGGAGTGGGTGGAGCCCTCCTGCTACTGGGTGGATGCGCATTAATGTCGATACTGCTGTGCGTGAGGGTTGGGGTGTGGGCTTAGGTGCTGTAATTAGAGACGATCATGGTAAAATTGTTGCTGTTATGGTGCGCAAGATGTCGACCCTGGTTAGTGTGAAGATGGCAGAAGCGTTGGCTGCTAGAATGGGTGTGTGCTTGGCGAAGGATTTAGGTGTGCAGCAGGTGGACCTTGAGTGTGATTCGACTTTTGTGGTGGCTGCCATTAACAAGCCTAGAGATGGTCGTGCGCCTGAGGATTTAATCTTTGATGATATTGTTTGTCTACGTGAGTCTTTCCCTGGTTTTTCTTGTAATCATATTAGAAAGGGTGGGAATTGTGTTGCCCATATGGCTGCTAGGATTAGGCCTGCTAATGATGTTGAACAAGTGTTTGTTTCTTCGTTTCCGCAAGGCCTTGTTGCCTTGGCTGATGTTGATTATGGTTAATTAATACTAATTTCTGCTCGCTGAGCATTTCTTTCAAAAAAAAAGAAACCTATGATAGTTTTAGGGCATGTTCTTATTGACTGAATTGAACTGAACTGAGCTGAAATAAACTGAAATGAATATTTTATAAGAGAAGGAAATGAGGAGCTGAGCTGAGCTGAACTGAAATGAGCTGAACTGAACTGAACTGAACTGAATTTCAACATATGAGAACAGACACTTAGTCATGGGACTATAACAAATTTCATTGATGATATCATTATAATTATACCAACAAATAAATATATTGATACAAAGTTCTTGCTGATACTAATTAGAAAAATACGTTTGTATAAAATTATACATATAAACACAGTTTAATACTATCGGAGATTATTATATTCATGTATGAATAAAAAGGTTATACTATTATAAATTTAGACTTTCACAAAAGAAAAAAAATAAAAAGGTTAGGAGCACAATATGAATACGTATGTAATATGTCAAAATCATGGATATTACGAATACTTGACATATTGTTAGATTATTCTTAATAATGATAGTTATTCTATATCTATAGTTTATAATGTTTGTTGAAACACTTCCCTTTAAAAAAATAAATAAATAATTTTTTTTTTTTGCTGAAACATGATTAAAGATATTAATGGTGAAAAAGCTAAGGGTATGTTCTGTTCAGCTTAATTTCAATTTAGTTCCTATCAGTTTAGTTCTTAATTTCATTCTCTCACAAACAATTTACTAGGTTATCATCGTGTGATGCACGGTTAAAATTAACCTTTCTTATAATTTATAGTACAATTAAGTTGCTTTACATTGTATATGGAGATTAGAATCAAATATAAAAATAATTTACTTACATTTAAGGAAACTAAATAAAATTGAAACCACAATCAAACATAAAACAAATTAAGTATGTGAAACTATAATTTAGGAGAGAACTTAATTGGTTAATTGAATTTTATATAGACATTTATGCATTAAAGGCAAAAGAGTAGATTAAAAATCGAAAAAAAAATCATTAATAATTGATGACATCATACATAAAATTGGAGGGAAAAAATTTAATGTGAGAATGACACGTAAGATTGTTTCATAATTGATTATATCAGCAATGTTTTGTTTTAATAATAGTTAATAGAATAGATTTCAACTTAGTTATGTTCAGTTTAGTTGTTTTCAGTAAATCAAAACAGGCTCGCAAAAGAACATTTTTTTTAGTTGAAGGAAGTAGTTTTAATTTTGGACATGCCCAAAATAATCACACCTTTGGGTTATTTTTAAACGGCGCCTTTTTGGTGCAGCAGGCCACACCGTGTGACCTGCTGCCAAGTCAGCAAAATAACGGAGAACGACGCACGTATAACAGGATTAGGAAACAAGCGCTGAACAAAATGGCTCTATAAAACACGCGCAAATTTCTAAAACCTAAAACCTAGAACAACTCATTTATTGCGGCGAACAAAACGAGGAACGAATGCGAAAATCGAGCGAAACCTCACACAATTTTTCTTCCAGAAATTCAAGAATAACAATGGCAGAAGAATTGAAAAAATTACCTGATTCACAAGAATCACTAGAGATCGAACAAATTGAAGATTCTTTGATGAATCTCGAAATCCAAACCAGTAATCAGGTATTGGATCTGGAAGATGAAAACATATACGATGAAATTGAAGAAATTAACAAGTAACCCCTGTTAAACTAACAAGTAGCCCTAACAAAAATTAACAAATAACTCCTATAAAATTAACAAGTAACCCCTGTTAAACTAACAAGTAACCCCAAAAGTAAACAAGTAACCCTAACAAAAATTAACAAGTAACCCCTAAAATAAACAAGTAACCCCTGTACTGTTAAACTAACAAGTAACCCCTAAAATAAACAAGTAACCCTAACAAAAATTAACAAGTAACCCCTATAAAATTAACAAGTAACCCCTAAAATAAACAAGTAAGCCTAACAAAAATTAACAAGTAACCCCTAAAATAAACAAGTAACCCCTAAAATAAACAAGTAACCCTAACAAAAATTAACAAGTAACCCCTGTTAAACTAACAAGTAACCCCTAAAATAAACAAGTAACCCTAACAAAAATTAACAAGTAACCCCTAAAAATAACAAGTAACCCTTGTAAAACTAACAAGTAACCCCTATAAAACTAACAAGTAACACCTGAAACCTAACAAAAATTAACAAGTAACCCCTCTAACTTAACAAGCAAATTATGTAAAACTAACAAGTAACTCCTAATAAACTATGAGTAACAAGTAATAACCCCCTAAAACTTTACAAATAACCCTTGTAAAACCAACAAGTAATCCCTATAACACTAAAAAGTAACCCTATAAAACCGACGAGTAACCCCTAAAACAAGTACACTGTAATTTTTAAAAGGACTTTTTGTCAAAAACTACCTATTAAATGCCATTTTTTCTGAGAAACTACCTAATAAAAAAAATGTTGTAAGAAACTACCTATTAAAATGAAACTGTTGTAAAAGACTACCCTTTCATCGGATTTTCACCATTGACTAATTTTTCCGGCATTGGCCACCTACTTGCCAATCACGTGAACTTTTAAAACCTTTATTTTTCCATGCCCCACCAACAATGTCACCTATCATGTGACCGTCCAAGCATGGTCAACGCTGGAGAAATTAGTCAAAGAAAAAAATTCGATGAATAATAGCTTTATTACAACATTATTTGATTTAATAGGTAGTTTCTTACAACATTTTTATTTTAATAGGTAGTTTCTTACAACATTTTTTTTATTAGGTAGTTTCTCACAAAAAATTCCTTTTAAAAGGTAGTTTATGACAAAAAATCCCTTTTAAAAGTAATCCCCACATAATGAAAAAAGTAACTATTGTTGTATCTTCTACATTAGCAAGCTCCTTCAGCATCTTCTTAGCAGCCTCCATTTCATCTGCCTTTTGTTTCTTTTAATTTCATTCTCTAGTAATTCTTCATAAATTGCTTGATTTCTACTCACGAATTCTTTGACACCATCCAAAACAATCTCACGATGCTTGTTCAAATTGCAGAGCATAGATGACAGGATATTCAAAAAATTACTAAAATTAGGGTTTGATTTATATCAGAAGTAGGAGAGTTCAACGTATATGTCAATCCTTTCTTTCCCTTGGGGAAGATTATCTTGATTTTAGTCATTATCAACGAAAAGAACAATTTAAAGGAGAGAGAATTTGAGGAGAAGAATTTGAGGAGAGAGAAAAGGGAAGAAGAACAGTTTGATGAGAGAGAAAATGGAAACAGAGAAAATGAGAAAACTTTGGGAAAGAAGAACATTTTGATGTAATAAAATGAAAAAAAAGAAAGGCATGTTTTTTAAAAAAAAATTTAAAATAACGGACCCGTTTTGTATAACGGAGTCCGTTATATGAAACGGACTGGCCACACCATGTGGCCAGCCACATATAAGAATTTGTGATTTTTAAATAATCTGACCTTTAATATATATCAATCTATTTAAAATGGTCCCAAGCTAAGTGACCGGCAACCTTTTCAACAGGTAATTTTTTTTTGGTTTTAAATACACATGTCACCACGTGATTTATCTAAAATTTAAATTTATTTTCAAAAAAATGAATTTACAAAAAAAAAAGGAAATCAACTGCCCCCCAGCCCTAGCCACCGGTCCCCAGCCCTTGCCACCCATCCTCCAGCCCCAGCCACCGGTCCCCAGCCCTAGCCACCTAGCTCGTCCCCAGCCCCAGCCAATTCCTTCGACCTTCGTACTCTAAACCCAACCCAATCCACCCATCCCCCAGCCCCAGCGGAACCTTAAATTTCGCTTTCCCTCTTTCACCACCTCCAATGGCGGCGATATCCACCTCCTCTGAACCCACCTCCGTCATCTTCACTCACATCGACGAGATCGGTTCGCGCTCCTCTAATCAACGTCGTCGAAGAAGAACACGACTGGAATTGGGATGGGAAAAGGGAGTCTGAAATCGCGACGGGAAATGGTAGTTGGGTGATTTAGGGGGAGGGGAGGAGGGTCGGCAGTTCAAGGGAGGTGTTTCGGTGCAACACTCCGGCATTGGGTGGCAGGCAAGGTGTCAGGCGGCCATGGAGGGTTGTTGGGGGTGATTTTTTTATTTAATTAATTATTTTTTTTTAGTTTTTCTTTCAATAAACATTTAATTATCTTAATTTTTTTTTACCAATCACAAGCCAACACGTGTCATGTAACCTGTTAAAACAAGTTATATGGCCGGTTGGGACCATTTTAAGCAGATTGGGTATAAATGTCGGATTATTTAAATATAACCCAAAGGTGGGATTATTTTTAGCGGACACCCCAAAGGTGGGATTATTTCAGGCAACTTTTCCTTTAATTTTTGAAACAAAATTTGGAAAAAAAATAATAATAATTTTCTTAAGAAAAAATGGAAAAAAATTCATAGTTTAATTATCAATAATGACATTGATATTGTGACTAATAGAAGTTATCATAAATTAAAAAGAAAAACAAAAAGTTATCATATCTTATTTATATATATAAAAAAAAGAGTAACAAATTCCTTAAAAAGTTGAAAGTTAGTTACCCATTTTCAATCTTAACTCCTTATTTAAGTGAGTCAGTTGATTAATGATTCCTAAAGCTAGCCTCTAACCTTTTTTAAAGTATTTTTCATCGTTCCCTATGAAAACCCTAGTAAACCCTAGAAAAATATGGCAAACATTGAAGAAATTGGTACTAGTGAAGAAGAAAAAAAAGAGCAAAATGAAGCAAATGTCAATTCCATTATCAAATTATAGATGCTTACCCTATGACCTATTAACTACTGAAATTTTCCTCCGAATACCAATTAAATCAGTTGTTCAACTCAAATTAGTGTGCAAAAGTTGGAATTTTTTAATTTCAAATCAAAATTTTGCCAAATATCATCACCAACATTCAAAATAACACAATCTAACCTCATTATCTTTCATAATGAAGAAGCATAATCATCATTTTTTCGCCGTTGATCTCAAAGTCTTAGGCAAAGTTCTCTCGATTGTCAAAGCTTACGATGTTGATCGATTGACTCATCGTCGTAAGATCATTAAGTCTTCATCGAAATTAACGGTCATTGGATCATGTGACGGACTAATATGTATGTACAAAAATAATTTTAGGAAGGTTTATGTTTGGAATCCTACTACCAAAGAATGTAGACGTATATCAACTCCTAAAGGTATTTCTAATTGCATCTGCATTTTTGGATTGGCGTATGTCCCTTCCATCGACGACTACAAAATCATGTTGATTTCGGATCACACGCTCCGAGCGATTCCACAAGTTCATGTATACTCATTGAAGGATAATAAGTGGAGAAAACTAGAAGAAATTATCGACATTCAAGTATTAAGAATTTTTTACCAAATTTATCCAACTTGCTTTAAAAAGTGGCCTATATTTACCTCCTCCGAGGGAGTTTACTTTGATGAAGCGTTATATTGGATTTCGGATCATTTCGTATTAAGGTTTGATTTGGTGAAGGAATCATTTGATTTAATATTGAATTCGAAGATTAAGGCCTTTAAGAGAAAAAATCGAGGGTGTAATATATCGACATATATTCAAGTTATAGGAGTAAATTTGTGCGTTTGTCTCATATGTAATACTCGTAAATCCGATAACCAAAATCAAACAAGTATTAAGATTTGGATGTTCGAGCAAAGCAAATGCGTTTGGAAGAATATTCTAAAGGGGAAGGAGCAGTATATGGGAGGTCTAGATTATTTTAGGTCAAGAATTATTGGGATCGTTGATGGTAAACTTCTAATATTGGAAGAAATAGAATCAACAACTCCATTAAAGGAGATTGTGCTTATTGAAAATCAACCTTTGGGTGTCTGTATTCCTGAAGAATCGAATTATGTTGCAAGTTATGATGAAAGTTTTATTTCTCCTTACATATGATTTAGGTTGTAATGTTGTTTATGCATATAATTATGCATTTGCAAACATAATAATGACATGAGAATTTATAAGTTTATCTCAAATTAATTCTTTTGCCTTCATTTGTTTATTTTAGTTTTTGATTTATAAGATAGATTGTTCTATAAATGATGGTTTTAATTTTGGTTTAATTAAGTTAGGTCTGGATTATATTTTTTGGAAGATTAGAAAAGCTTATAACACTAGTAGAAAAAAGCATTTGGCCACCGGTTCAAAACCCCCTTATGCCACCGGTTTTGAACCGGTGGTCATTTGGGGGGTGGCAATAAGCTTTTAAAAAAGCCACCGGTTCAAAACCGGTGGCAAAAACAAGTATTGCCACCGCAATAATCTGTCCCCTTTTTTTTTTTTGGTATTAACGAGTATTGCCACCGGTTAACCGGTGGCAATAATGCCCTAAAAAAACAAAAAAAAAAAAAATTGCTTTTTTTTTTCACTTAAAATGTACAGGACACATATATACATACATAATATACATAAAACACATATATATTCATCAATAACTAGTAATTGTACACTTTATAAGAGTGAAAAAACTAAATTTATAACTGCAAATAAATTAATGATACAACAATTCCAATTTACCAGAACTAAATTTATCAAATTACACAAACCAAATGTTTAAAACATCAGCTTAGTCTTCAAAGGATTAGTTCTCTGGAGCATTAGTCTTTGTAAATTCCATTAGATCAGAAAAACTTGATTCTCTGGAGCATTACTAGCAGCATTTCCTGATAAATAAAAGATGTCATGAGTATGGGATTAGGCTAATTGGCCTAATTTCTAAAACTAATCTTTTTTTTTTAAAAAAAAAAAACAAAAAAACCACCCTAACCCACGACCCACCCACAACCGACGACCCACCCACAACCCACCAGAACACACGACCTGGCACACCGGCCACCAGCTCAAACCCCAATCCAACCCTCACCCAGACCCACCCAAACCGCATCCAACCCACCAGGACCCATCATCGAAACCCACCACGACCCCTGACCCACGACCCACCCACAACCGACGACCCACCCACAACCCACCAGAACACACGACCTGGCACACGACCCACCACGACCCCTGACCGAACCCACAACCAAACCAAAACCTTACTCGACGCCAAACCCACCAAGACAACAACCACAAAAGCAACAAAAACCCTACCCAAAACAATTGGAAAAAAACCCAAAATCAATTCGAAAAAAACCCCAAAATCATTTCGAAAATCAATTAACCCCAAAATCAATTCGAAAAAATCCAAAATCAATTCGAAAAAACCCAAAATCAATTCGAAAAAACCCAAAATCAATTAAAAAAAAACCAAAATCAATTACCCCATAATCAATTCGAAAAACCCCAAAATCAATTCGAAAAAACCCAAAAAAAATTCGAAAATCAATTAACCCAAAAACCCTAATCTCGAATAATTAAACCCAATAACATGCACTAACCTCGAACTTGGTGGCGGCGGTGGTTAGTGGCGGTGGCGGGCAGAAGACAGAAGAGAGAAGAGGGGTCGGAGAAGAAAGGGGAAAGAAGAAGAGAGGGGAAAGAAGAGGAGTGAGAGGTCAGACGACAGAGGAGTACAAATCAGAAGAGAGGAGAGCGAAGGAGGAGAGAGAAGGAGGAGAGGAGGAGAGAGAAGAGAGAGGCACCTAAGAGAGAAAAGCTGAGGGTAAACTTAGGGTTAGGGTATATAAAGGAGAGAGCTAAGGAACAAAATGAAAGGCCGGTTTTTTTTTTAAGAAGGCCACCGATTCAAAACCGGTGGGATTAATGTTTTTCCCACCGGTTCAGTTTGAACCGGTGGCAATACTCTCCCTTCAAAATCCCGCCCATTTCCCCCCCTTTTTTTCCCACCGGTTTTTAAAAACCGGTGGCCTTGAGGCGGTGCCTATCTTTTTTTTTCACCTAGTGTAATTACGTAGTTCATATTCTCAATTTCACAACTCTCAATGCACTTTGTTGGTGATTCTATGCTGATGGCAGACATCTGTTAATTTCATTATATTTTATTTACCAAGTATTACATACGAAGTACTCGTAAATATTCTTCTAATCTATATACTTATCTTTGGTTTTATTTTTATTTTTCCTTTCCCACTATCACCTTAATCAATGAAAAAAATATTTATATTTTTTGGGGGTTCCATCTAGTTCAACTTTTAGGCTAATTCGGATTCGGAGATCAGTTTGGGTGATCCCCTCCCAATTGTTGTTGCGGAGGATCGAACACGAGTCTTTCTTACCAATTGTAATCTCAATCACCACTACACCAACAAACAATTGGGCCTTGTTTGGTAGTAGCGTTTGAGGTAGCGGTTAGCGTTTGGACCAGTCAAAACACTATTAAAAAAAATTTGAGAGTGTCTTTGGCAAGGTAGCGTTTTTAGTATCGATTAGCGATAGAGGTTAACGTTAAAGTAGCTTTTCACAAACCTTAAAAATAGTAGCGGGTAGCGTTTGACAAATTTTTATTAATTTTAACACAATAGTTATATGAATTTTGATATATTTTGGTATTGCAACTGCTACTGTTGCCAAACACTCATTCTATAAACCGTTACTTTGGCAGCTAACCTCTACCCACTATTAATTGACAGCAACTCGCTACCTTAATAGCTACCCGCTACTCGACCGCTAAAAGCTACCCGCTATCGCTACTTTTGCGGTAAAAAAAAAATCTATTTGAGAGTATAAGAAATTTTTTTTTGTACAGGCGTAACTTGTGACTTGTTCAATTAAAGCAAAGAAAACGGGCCTAATTGGGCCAAGCTAAGTAAGGCTAATCTCTTACTAAAGCAATTGAATACACAAGGTAAAAAAAAAAAAAAACTATTCATCATATAAATTTGACCTAATAAATTAAACCTCCTCAATCCTCATTCAATTTCAATCAATCGCCTCCTTGAATCGTCGATCAAAGATATCTATTTGACTATTTCATAGCAAAAAAAATGTCCGTATGCATCTATTCCTCATACGATAATCAATTTTGTTTACTGCTTTTTTTTTTTTTTTTTTGTTTTGTTTATGATTATAACAATGCCAATAATCGAGTATCCATGATTTAATTTCCTTGTTGAATTGCAGGAATAATCATAATAATTTAGACCTTGGACATGTGCAAACAATGGCCGAAATCGATAGAATAAGCAATTTACCTGATGAATTAATAAGCGAAATAGTCTCTCGCCTTTCCGTAGAAGAGGCGGCTACTACCTGTGTATCATCAAAGAGATGGCGGGATGTCTTTGCCTTGATTACCCGGCTCGAGTTTGATCATTCGTGTGAGTATACACTTGAACAACATAACAAATTTGTTGACAACGCGTTGCGTGCTTGCAGATCTGAAAGAATAACTATGTTTAGACTCAGAATTCTCATTAATCAATCTTATGTTCCTATGGAATATAAGCGTGTTAATCATTGGATGTCGTTTGCTTTAAGCCGCGGAGTCAAGCATCTTGAAGTTGTTGCCTTTTTGATTGATCACGATAAGCTACCATTAGCCCTTTTCGAGTGTCAAACATTGGAGACATTAACACTAGTATTGAATGTTAATTTTGAAGTTCCCTCGACTTATAATTTGCCAAACTTGAAAGTGTTGTGCCTGCATTTTGCTTCTTTCCGTGATGAAGATTTTATAACTAGGCTAGTTTCGAGGAGTCCATTACTCGAACGCCTAGATTTATTAGGAATAAGGGAATGTTTTCAACATATCAATGATGTTATTTCTGCACCTTTTCTTACTACATTATATATAAATCTTTTAATGTTCCGTGAAAATCAGAGAAATACAAGTAAGTTACTTCTTGATGCTCCTAATTTGAAGTATCTAGACTATTCTTTAAGCTTGGAATCACAATATTGTATTGGAGATTTGAATTCACTCGTTGGAGCTAAGTTAAATATGCCCTTGAACGAGGTTAGGCTTTTCAGATCAATGTCCAATGTTCGACGTCTACATCTAGGTTCAACGTGCATGAAGGTTTGTTTGTTATATCATTCAATTTAATTCATTCTTTTACAAGTGCAAAAAATTTCTCTAATAATGAAACTAATTATTGTACTACTCTCTCTGGTGCTAGAGCCTCAAAAATTGTGGATTAAAGCATAACAAGCTGCCTATGTTTTGTAATTTACATCATTTACAGCTTAATTGTGCCTGGAGTCATTCCTATCACCAAGTAGTGTTGGAGATGCTTCATGCTTCACCTGTTCTAGAAACAATTTTCTTTGAGGTTAGCGCCATTTTTTTTATATGTTCGATCACTTTTAAGGCCTAGTTCATTTCATCTTATTTATGTTGAACTAAAATTATGTTTACTAAATTTAAATTATATTTTACTGATTCTATTATATTTCTTCTTTAAATATTATATTTTCATGGTGTACTGAATAGGGCCTAAGTCGATTATCTATGCCATTGATGATCTTTTCAGGATTTGAACAATAAATGTAATAAGGTCGAACGTTTGCAAGAAGTTGATAATTTGAATAAAAGTGAAGCGATCCCTTTTTGTTTGGAGTCACACCTCAAAAGAATTGAGATAAACATATACAGTCCTTGGTCTAATTTGGAGCAAGCAATGGTTAAATATTTTCTGAGATGGTCATTAGTTTTGGAGGAATTGGTTATAACTTACCCTAATATGTATACACTAGCCGAAAGGATATTGCTCGAAAGGGAAGTACAGAGGCTACCAAAAGGCTCATCAAATTATTCAATCAAGGTGCAGTCAAGTTCATGCAATCCAGCTTATTGAATATTTTGGTGCAATGTGTATTACTAGAAATCAAGCATTCTGTTACGCATTTCGAAAGTGTTTGGAGATTTTGGACTTCCGATGTAGTTTGGGTGCTTTTTTCTTAGGTTGTAATTTGTAAAAAATAAACTTAAAAAGTTATAACTGTGTTGAACCCATGAACAACCTAGTGGTTAAGGGGCTACTCTCCTCATTCCCAAGTATTCAAGAATTACCACCACTATATAAGGTTAAGGGGCTACTCCCCTCATTGACATATGGTTTTGAGGTGGAACCTCCTTGGTCTTGCACTCTCCCTTGACGGGTGTGGCTCAAACTTATATTTGATAAACTTGCAAAAGGGGTAATTTTGCTAGGGTTCGGCATGAGCCAACGAGGTTGGAGTTAAGCACAAGTACTAGGTTAAGGTGAAATATGTTTCATATTAATGCGTAAAACTGCATTCTGGTGAATATTATGTAGTCTTGCTCTTCAAATGTAGTACACCAAAGTAGGGGTGTCAATTTGGTTAAATAGTTCGGGTTTGAGTTGGGTTTATCAGTTTCGGGTTATAACGGGTTGGTTTATAACGGGTTGAAATAATAAGCGGGTCGGTTTGGGTTGGTTTTGAAAACTATCAGGTCAGTTCGGTTTGGTTTGGTTTTTTTAATTGCAGTTTCTATTCGGATCGGGTCGGGTTCTAGTCGGTTCGGGTCATAATCAATTTGGATTGAACCGGGTCAGTTTGAAAACGGGTTTAGCCCGTTTAATGTAGGTTTCGGTTAAAAACAGTTCGGATCTTAATCAGGACGGGTCGTAATTGGCTCGGGTCATAATAAGTTTGGGTTTACTGGGTCGGTTCGAAAATGGGTTCCGGTTCAAAACAAATCGGGTGAAATCGGGTCCAATCATTATCGTTTCAGGTTATAATCGGTTTAGATTGAACTTGGTTGGTTTGAAAACGAGTTTACCCAATTTGAAGCGGGTTTCTAATCAAATCATATCGGGTTAAAATTGAGTCGGATGATTATCGAGTCGAATTAGTCAGATAACGGGTAGGAACGAGTCATATTATACTCAATTCAAGTCATAAATAAGTTGGGTTTACAGAGTAGTAGGTTGAAACAGATTAGATCATAAACATATTGGCTGGGTAACAGGTTGTAAAAGACTCAGTCATAACGGGTTACAAGTTTTAAACGGTTTGGTCACAATGGGTTACGGGTCGTAAACGGTTCGGTCACAACTGGTTACGGATTATAACTGGTTCGGTCACAACGGGTTACGGGTTGGAACGATTTAGGTTTATCGGATTTTTATCGGGTTTTAACGGTTTTCTGTTTAAAATGGGTCGGGTTACTATCGGGTTTAAACGTAATCGGTTTGGGTTGCTTTCAGTTTCAGGTTATAAAAGTTTGGCTTGATAACGGGTCGGGTTAGTAACGGTTCGCTCAAATTCGGTTCAATCCAGTTTCGGGTTGGAAAAAATTGGGTCGGACCAGTTTTCGGTTTCCAAAAAACGGGTTTTAAACAGTTTAATCCTTTTCGGATCGGTTCAAAATAGTCGGGTTTAACGGTTCGGGTCAGAAACTGACAGCTCTACACCAAAGTAATTAGAGTAGCTAGGCACATTGACGGCGCCATAACTTATATCGTTCCTGTTTGTATAATTGTATCTTCTTATTATCCCATCATTTCTTGCACGGAGTGTGAATTTCACCTACGACATTAAACTAATGGAGCAAATGCAAATCCACTCAGAAATATCTTTACTTTATGCTTTTTTTTTTTTTGGTGAAAAAGATATCTTTACTTTATGCTTCAATGAACGAATACACTATACATGCATATTTAATGAACAAATTCTTAGTATTCTCACTGATGTGTTCAAATAAACTTCCTAAAATAAATACATATCAATTAAAAAAGACGAAGGTGAGTATTTGTTATCCAAATCCTATCCGAAATTTTCGATGAGTTAAACATTGTGATATTTGTTAACTTAGGCCATGTTCACTCAACCTTAAAATAACACTATTCAATAAAAATAATTTCAGATCACTAGTAATAGGTTAAGTGTTGCTACCACCAAAACACCATGTTTTGACTTTTGATACGTATCGAACGTTTTATTTTATTTTGGTACCCCCAAAAGTTACAAAACATATATTTTACTATTATTTAACAGAATCCGTTAAAAATATGTTAAATGGGCCCATTTTATTTTATTTTTTTTTTAAAAAAAAACTTACAAAAAAATTTACAAAAATCTGAGCTTCCCCCTTCCCCGTCAGCCACCACTCCCCCTCCCCTGCTGACGCTCAAAAACTCTCCCGACACCGGCAACCCCATCCCCTTCCCTTTCCCCCACCCACGCTGCCCATCTCCCTCCCCTTTCCCACAGTTGTAGAAGAGAACAAGACGATTACGATTTCAATACGACCGACTCACATTCCGATGCCGACTATGACCCAACTCCTCCCGCGACCGCAGCAAACACCGCCGGTGAAGCAACAACCGCCGCTGCAAACGAGAATCCTTGCTGGAATTCCCCCAAGTTTCCAGCGAAAGTAGGAAGAGGAAGAAGAAGGTTTTGGAAGAACAGATTAAAAAAGGAAGCAGCGCAAGGGACAAGAGCAATGGCGATCTGAGCATTGTCAGCGAAGGTTTCGGGAATTCTTCAATCGATCGGAAGGATGATAATTATGATCTAGTGTTAGGGTTAGGGTTTGTGCCGCCATTAAAATGGAGGGAAGATGGTAGTAAAAGACAAGGACGTGATATATATTGTAAGGGGGATTAGAGCTCCGGTGGTAACATCTTGATGGGGTCGCCGACGCCGAGGGCTCATTTAAGCACCAACAGCAGGTACAGGAGAGGGGGGAGGGGTCGCTGATAAGGAGAGAAGAGCTGTGATTTTTTTAATAAATTAAATCATTATTTTATAATCAATCAATAACTATATACTAAAAGACACACCAGCAATGACACGTGTTATTTTCTGGTGTGTCCTTAGTTTTTTTTTTTTGAATATACTATTTAATTAAAGAAACAAAATTTATTTACAAAAATAATTTTCTAATCTTATACGATATAATTACTTAAAATAAAAAAGATTTGACATATATTTTAACTATTAAAAATTTCTTAACTTACAATGTGAATTCCTTTATTTTACTAATTTTCAACATCGTTTTATATCTAACATATCTTACAAAATCCTTTATTTTGCTCAAAATTTGTCAATATTTTTAGATTTTTTTTTGTTTTATAAAAACTGATTATAATGATAGTTTAATAATGATTATTAAAAATTACCGTGCATGTCACGGGAACTAACATAGTAATATATATAATTGGCCCCAATTAACGGAATTCTAACAGATTCTGTAAAAGAGTAGCAAAATCCATATTTTGTAACTTTTGAAGGTAGAAAAATAAAATAAAAATTTAGATATGTAGCAAAAGTCAAAATAGGGTGTTTTGGTGGTAGCAAAAGTCAAATTTTTTGTAATAATAAATTCTACAAAAAAGTTCAGTTCAATAAAAAAAAAAATTAGTTCAGTAAAAATCAGTAACTTTAAAGAAGAAATATAATAGAGAATCAACATTTGCTGGTCCCTACACGCACCGATACGCTGCATTGTACACATTTTTTGTAGGAAAGATCATTATATAGAAAAGTAATGAACATCTAGCTATAGTGTATGGCCAACTGAGGTTGCGGAGGCGAAGACTTTATGTATGGCTGCTAGACTAGCAAGGAGGTACGAGTGCAGGGATGTTACTCTCAAGACGGACTGCCAAGTTGTGGTGAATCTCTTATCTAAAAGAGTTGTCTATTTTTCTGACCTTGATGGAGTGCTTAAAGACATTTTATTTTAATTTGTGCAGTAGCTTTAGTTCTGTAGCTTGGGCTCATGTGAAGAGAGATGGCAACAATGTAGCCTTTCGATGTAGAGCAAGTATGGGAGAACCATTGTCCTCCGGAAGTTTCTCCTTATGTACTCTCAAGCTCTTTGTCTATTTCTAAATTAATAAACCATTTACTTTACCTCAAAAAAAAAAAAAACTATTAAAATGTAATGAACATATATCTAAAATAAAACGAACATATTTGCACCAAAAAGAGTGAAAAGAACATATTTCTATGATCTTTGATTGTCAGATAATGTACTTTTATTTGTGATATAATGTTCATTGTTTATAGTGTAATGTTGTTTGAATTTTGTCTTTAAATTATGGTGCTATGTATAAATAATGTACATTACATAATATTATCATGTTTTTTATTAATATTACGGATGTTCTTTAGATATAAAAAACATAAAATTTGATATTATTCTTTACAAAACAGGTATACGTTCTTTAAAAAAACAAATGTGTGTTCTTTACAAAATAGCTACATGTTCTTTCCGTGTTTTTTTGTCTGTAAGGCGCCTTGTAGACATCCATTTGTGTCTCCCCAAAACCAAACCCAGTGATGAATATCTTTCGCGTCGAATCATAATCGAATGAAGTGAAAGTGTGAAAAGTCTAGTGTTGCGGTAGTTTTTATTAAAAATTTTTTTTTTGTCTTTGAAACCTACTCTATTTTATGAAGATATCCGGTCCAGTTTGATTTGGTCCATGATAAGGATCCAATAATGGTGTAGTTGGATGGGGCTCGAAAAGTGCTTTTCAACGATATATTATAAGCCCAATTCCGATGAATAATGAGGAAGTTATGGCCAAAATACTAAACTGGGTCCAATTTGGTTCTTACATACGGCCCAATAATATAGAGGAGGACCTATTATTATTCATAAAGCTAGTAGGATTGATTATAGTCTTCTAGAAGGTTCCTTTTTATCCTAGTAGGATTAGGATTGATAATTGTGTATACGATTTTTACTTGGAATAAAAATAAGTGTTTTATATGAAAATACGATTTTAGCCTTCGTACAGATTTTACGACTTAATTATATTGAGAAGTGGATTCCGTGTAGAAAACGTGTTGAAATCCCTTGCATCGCCTGACG